GCATCGTTTACACCAAAAGCACAACCAAATGGTGACAAACAGCTAAATCGGGACACAAATAAAACAATCGTTGAACTCAATGTAAACCAATCAAAAAGTTTGCATTCAATTACTGACACTCATCTTGAAAATAGTCTTCCAATAAGTTTATGGAGTTTTGAGATCAAATGCAAATCTTTTCTATATAATCAGGTATTGTTTAATCATAACTTCTGTGGTTATTATGATTATAATTAACTGCAAATTTGTAATCAAAGATCAGACGAATGATTGGCGGTATTATCGATGTCGGACTCAATCGATTTAAATACGAACACATGGAGTGGCTTCTGAACAACCCGTCCCATAAGAATTGGGGGTTTCAACAAACTGTAGCCCCGGCTAAAGGTTTAATTGACATTTAAATACTGCGGTAATTCAAAGTTTAATAAATACTTGTTCAATAATAGGCTTATGGCTATTAGATGTCCATTATGATCAAAGCGGTAAATTTAAGATCAAAATGCTTTAAAAGTAGTGTTTATTTTAATTTATCATTAAATAGACTTAAAATTATACGACGATTTGGGCAATAAAGCGAATGAGTTTGCAAATAGTTATCCCAATTATAGCGAAATCAGTCATTTCACTGAACATTGAATGCATTTATTGTATATTTTGTTAATTTTGAAAAATAAAAGAATTATTCAATTGATTAATATTCATGTAATTAATAAGGTATATGACCGATAGTAGCATTTGTAATAAATTACAGGTACTCTACCTATTATATAACACAATATTGTAATGCCAATCCTAATACTGTATGTGTTTCTGCACTAAAGACTAAGAATTTGGTAAGTCTTGTAAATTATAGATATTCGAGAAATATTTTGTAAAAATTAATTTTGTTTAATAAGTTACCCATGGTAAATATATTGGTATAATTATATAAATATTCGAAGCAAAATAACATTAATTAAAAATATACCAAGTTAAATTGAGTTGAATATTCTCATAAATATTCATCTTACAGTAACTTATAGTTGGCATAAAATTTTGAGACAAACCCTAGAAAGTGCCCTTGCTGGTTAGTTTAAAAAACACTGATGAACACTATACTGTCACCAACATTATAAGTTAAATTTACAAGGTAATTTATTTTTAAAAATTATAATCAAAGTTTCTTAACTTGATTCTAATATGTGAATTTACCGTAATTGTGTGCAGTCGTTAATTCAATATTTAATTATTATATTATATTAAGCTAACTTACATTTACAAACTAATTTTATTATCACTTACTAGTGAAAACTAAATAACAGTATATTGACATTATATTGACACCTCAATATCTTACTAAAAACATATATTATATGTTTTATGACAACATTTGCAATAAATGATTTTTGCAAAAATTTTATAACATGTATTTTGTTTTTTAAATATTTGCTTAATTTCTTAAAAGGACTCTCAAATATAATAATTGAATATTTTTTGCTTTCTAATAAATAATTACACATAAGAAGAGATAGAGACAAATAATAATAATAATAATAATAATTCTACACATTATTTGCAACGAAATCATATGTTTATGTTTTGTCACAAATTTAAAGAATTGAGTTAAACGAATTAAAGATATTTTACAACAGAGTATGTGTTAATTACTGTACTTTCTTTTGAGTTCAATTTTACGTCTGGTACAGTAATGTATAATTAGTGATTTTTATAAAGTCCCACACAATTATATGATATTATAGACAGAAACCATAAGATTTATGTTTTTATTCAATTCAATCCCAATAGGCAGGGCTTCTGTCAAGTTATCAATTTATATTATTCTAATTTAATATAAAATCAATTTCAGGACAAACTTTTGATAAATTACAGTTGGACTAGAATTGAGGGATTTAAATAAATACATTAATAATTGAGCAATGTGCACTTTTCTCACTTTTCTATGACTCAATACTTCCTTGTGGCCAATAGTTTTGGGCACAGAATGCAACTAAATGGGACAGAGGTGTCAAAAATCTAAGAATGTACTAGAACATTTAAATATTTGTTGGAAATTGTATGAAAACAGAATTTTTTAATTTCTGTACATTTATTTTAAACTAGTTTTATTTTGTTTATAAATGTATAAAAGTAAACTTATCTTCGTGAAAATCTATTAATTTAAATTACATTATACCAAAAGGTTTTTGGCTAGTTAATATTAAAAAACAAATTATTAATTAAATTTATTTTATATATTAAATTTTCAGACCATAATTACCGGTATATTATACTGCAATTATTATTTTTTAAAAATAGTGAATATTTATTTTTTAAATATTTATTTTAAGAATAGAATTTAAATTATAACAAAGATATTAATACATTGCATTAATATTACCATAGTTTTATGACTTATAAGAATATAATATATTCTAATCTATAATGTTATAACTGATTTGATCACAATCATCTGTTTCTATAATTTAGTCCATTAGTCATTCAGCAATTCTTTTATTTAGTTTTATTTATTATCATTATTCATTAGATTATATTTATTTTATTGAAAACCAGAAAAATAAAGAAAAGAATGAAAGAAAGAAAGAAGAGAGAGAGAGAGAGAGAGAGAGAGAGAGAGAGAGATTAAAAGTGTTGGAAACAAATAGTAAATAATTGAATGATAAAAGTACGGAATTAGAGGAAGTGTTTGATGTTATTATCGGTCAGAGAGTGAAAGGTATGCGCTATCGTCTAATACAGTACTGCAATACAACTTTATTATTAAACACTTGTCAATGTATTTAGTTTACAAATATTGCAATTGTTTGCTTAAGACATAAGTATAATAACAAATGCCTTGAAAATATTTTCACATAAAAATACTTTCTAACTGTAAGTGAGAGACTGAGGGGTCAAATGCTATTTGAGAGCCAGTGATGTATGCTTGCAGTGAATGAATGAATGATTATTTGTTAAGTTATTTACAAATAAAGAACTCATTGGCGACTAAAACAGTGTTGAACTTTGGATATAACAGAATTGTGTGAGAATTATGAGGAGCCGAGTGCCCATCCCTTCGGATACATCACAGGCTAAGGGATACGAGCGGAGAGACTGAGAGACTGAGAGCCTGAGAGCCTTAGAGGAGGGCCTTCACTGTTGACTGCATTGAGTGAGAGTGAGTTGTAGTCAGAGATTGTGTTCATTCATACGCGTGTCACAGACTACTGATCATTGAGACACACATCGACCGGTCCTCCAGTCCCTACCATATTATTCTATCATATCACACCACATACCAGTGCTGACTATGTTTTAAACAAATTAAAAAATCTTGTCAACTCTTCACTGAGTTGCCTATCAGTCAATGAAATATTCAGTGAACTTTCAATTGGAATATGAATTCAATTAGACTTCAGTTCAGAACTTTGAACCATCAGTTTGACGGCAAACTATCTCACGTCAAATGTCTACTCATATCGGCTCTCATTTCTGTCATCTTTAGCTCATATTGTATTCATAGTGTCGTATCAGATGTAAGTCTTTTGACGTTTCATTACTCCCTTTCAATATCTAAACATTTCTTTATTGCTGCAAATCTTGTGTTTAACATATTATGTAATTTCTTACTAATTCTTGTTTGACATAACTTTCACTCAACATTTCATTCAGACTGAGACAGACATAAGTTTTCAACGTTTAATGAAATGAGACATAAATACTGTTGCCATAGATTGTAAGAAATGCATGCAATTACTAATTGTTCGTAAAATTCTAGACAAACTATATTTAGGCATAAAGAAGATTTTTTGAATAAAAATCAGTTCATTATTCCCTTTCACATTACATATTGTTTTCTTGTTTCATTAACTTTTTATCGCATTTACAAAACGTTTTATGAACTAACTTAAGATTTAAATCAGAAATAAAAATATTTTAAGAGTAGCTTAAAAATGTTGAAAGTTTAGAAATCTTTATGACACAAAATACTGTGTTCTGTGTGTTATGAAAGAAAATATTTTAATGGATTTTCGACTCATAAAAATGATGTTTATTTGAATGAGATATTTTCATTCATTCCGCCACTGTTTTTGTACTTAATAGTAAATTCTATAACAATTTCATAAAACATTTAATTTACCGCTAATTTGTTCACTCCTTATATGTTTTCTATATGCTATAAAATTATATAAAAATTCACTTTTTAATGAAAATAATTTTTGTGATTTCAATATACTGTGAAGTTAATCACTACACCATTTATATCTATTTTCTGAACATTTTAAAATACGAATATAAAAATATGTTTAATTTTAATTATAAATTAATTTTGGAAATTTTTTTATTATCAATACCGTGTATTTTGAATATAAATTTTATATGTAGCATACATATTTAATAGCATTTGATAAAAGTTAAAGATAAAAGTTGTAATAGAATATCTTATCTTAATCTATATAAATTATATTATCAAATTTTAAAAATCAAATCTTAATTATATTATATTTTATTTAATTTTTCTTTGTATTTTATTTAAAATCATATACAATTTTTAAAAAAATATTTTTTAATGAAAACAATCTTATTATGTTTTAATTATAAGCTAACATTTCTTATTTGAAAAGTCTATAATACAAATTGTTTATTTTTATAAAAAATTAATAAAGTTACATTAGATTTGGTAAATCTGGCATTTTTTAATATCATATCGAATATTTATTGTTATTCTATTTTTAAGTAATATTGAAAAAGCATTTTAAAAATATTATTAAAAATCAATTGGAGACATTGAAAAACTATTTGTAGACAACTGGAAAATAGTTTCCCTATCCCTGTGTTCAGGATTTGTGAAATTCCTGTCATCACTTGTATCAGAAATGTGTTGAACGTTAGACTAACACAATATTAAATTAATAATTCTTAAACTTTATTAATTAATACAAACATTTGGTTAATCTAAATATTTAAATACAAACAATTGAAAGTGAAATCAAAAATAATCTTAAAATTTAAGGAAATAAAAATATTATTATTATTATTATTATTATTGAAGATGAAGATGAGAGCAAAATAATCGAATAAATGGCAATAAAGTATAGCAATAGGGATG